TAGAAAAAACTCCATGAAGCAAAAGGAAGATCTACTAGATATTAATTAAATTATAAATTTATCAATTCATGTGAATATGACTGAAAATTTCATTTTTCTGAAAAGGTGGTGTCTATTTACTTGTGACAACGCTGTGTAGATCCGTTTTTAGAAGGAGCTTCAGTATTTATATGTTTGTTTCCAAAACGAATCGAGGGCTAGCTTCAAGAGTCGTTCTTAATTTTCATGTGATAAACGATAGGGGAGGCAGCTAGTCAACATCGCTCACCGCCAGTTGTTGGGGTACTCTAACCGAATAGTGGAATTCACCATCGTATTATATATAACACATCCATGGCTAAAAGGGCCAGCATATTTGACTACGGGCTTCGATCCCGCAAGTATTTATATAAGAAAATATTTCGTTACTTAGTTTATGTTATATATATATAAAAAAAGTATTGTTTAATGTTAATGTGGCCCGGCATGGCCAGGTGGTTAGGGTACTTGACTCGCAATTTGAGGGGCGCGGGTTCGAATCACCGTGCCACCAAATATGCTCGCTCTTTCAGCTGTGGGAGAGTTATAATGTGACGGTCAATCCCACTATTCGTTAGTAAAAAAAGTAGCCCAAGAGTTGGCGGTGGGTGGTGACGACTAGCTGCCTTCCCTCTAGTCTTACACTGCTAAATTAGGAACGGCTAGCGCAGATATCCCTCGTGTAGCTTTGCACTAAATTCAAAACAAACCAAACGTTTTTTAATGATATTAGCCAAATTATGCATATTTGGTGGTGTTTACTTTCTCAACGTATTTTTACGAGTTAAATTTATTTAACTTTTTCGTAAAGTAAAATGTTTTTACTATGTTAAATTTTGTCATTTAAAATGCATTATCTACAATTCATTTTAAAGAGCAGAACCTATATCCGTGATATTTTCAGAAGAACTAATACAGCATTGGGTCCAAACAAATTGTTAAAAAACGTTTCTAGGTATAGCTTACTTTTATTGTTCTATTCAAACTTGTATATATATATATAACAATTATAAATAATAATGTTGTTAAGTACTTTGGTATTTTAATTTTTTTAATGTATGCACAAAATTAAGATCTCCTCAGTAATATTATCATTTTTTATTATTTGGTAACTATTTAATTTTAACTGATGGTTTCAACAATTCATAAATTCAATTAAATGCAGAATTAACATTGTTATTTATGCAATGCAGTTGTATATTATGAAAGCGAGATATGTACCGATTCTTTTTTCTTTAAACAATGTTCTTTAACTTCACTTGTTTATATAATCATAATTTCTTTCCTGACCACTGCTAGGTTTGCCAACCATCTGGTGTCATTAAGCAAAGGTTGCATGCTGTACATAAAACTCGTACTAGATCTTATTGAGAAGGGCCATCTAGTGGTGAAAAGTAGTAGCTACAAAGTGATACCTGTTAGCTTGAGTGAAGTGTACTTATTATCCTGTAATCTCAAATTTACCACAATCAAGGCTTATGAAAGAGTAAGTCAATTTTATGAAGTTATATTTTATGTTAAGTTAGAATTGTTTTCACGCTTTTTGTGTATTAATAGAAAATTTATGCTACAAAGATGGCATAAAAACATTTGCAATATATTATACACTTACAATTATAGTATTTTGACAGTAACTTTAAAGATTTTTAAGATATTAATCATTGAAAAAATACACTTTTTTTTGCTAGTCAGTGTTATTATTTTTTAAAAATGTCGGCGACTGAGATATCGATATGGTGACTCTTCAGAGCTGACAATTTTCATCAATTGAAAAATGAACCAATATTTTTGTTATCACATCCAAAAGTTTCACCTATCGGATTCTGTTGAATTTCGGAGCTTGTTTCTTTTTTTTTCAGTTCAAATCTTCCAACGTAACTGATACTCCTTTTTAATCATAAACTAGCTCCTGTCTGGTCTTGAAATGTTATCATTTAGGTACTTTTAATCTAAGGGCTAATGTGTCATTTCTAGAGATAAAAATATGGGAACTAGTTATGCTTCGAATGGTGTTTAGTTGTGAAGTATTTATTGAAAATAAACGTTTTACAGCAAAACCCTGTAAAAGATACCAGCAGTATGCTTGACAAGTGTGATATTCAAATCTAATCCTATCTCGATGCTGATGATCTAACAAAGTTATTATAAAAGTGTCATAAGGAAAAATACATTATTCTTTATAATTGTAGTGGTCATTTATTGACGATCTGGTTCAATTTCACCCAAATCATCCATTTTGTTTTCTCCATAGGTCAGCCCTCTACTGCAGGTCAGTCTAGCATCTCTCTATCCTCTGAAGCCAGTTGAATTGTTTCATAGTGTGAATGCTGGAATTATTGACCAGCCTCTCGCGTGGGAGAAATTCTGCCAACAACTAGATATACTGCTCAGTGGTCAGTTTTTAGTCATTCGACAGGACCAGTCTCTGATGTTCTCTCATCCATGCTTAAGAGAGTGGCTAAAGAGAAGGGAGGGAAATGAAAATACCAAATTTTTATGTGATGTCAAGTATGTCAAATACTTAAGTCACTTCTGTTTACCATGGAGTGTGTTATAGCTTTGGATTCTTATAATTAAATCATATTTTATTGAAAGTGAAAAATATCGTAAACAGCAGAAAGTACTGTAAAATTTTTGCCAAAGTGTATATTTTTCCAATTACAAATTACAATACAAACATGCAATAATATTTTAGCAATGATTGTATAAATTGTGGTTTTTTTATTTTACTAGAATACAACGAATGAATATATATATATATATATATAAAGGCTTGATCTATTTAAATGTTCCGTTTTTTTTTTCCATTAAACTATATCAAACCACTATAAATGTTAATTACAACTTTTTCTGTTGTGAAGATTTGATAACGCATAGTACTTAATTTCCTAATTATTAATCTGTAAAACTTGAATAAATAATTAAGACACTATTCAACTTATCATACTGAGTGTTGTTTGAAACTTTAATGTCATAATGCTATTTAATTTTCTCTCATTAACAAAATATTGAAATATAATTGTTTAGAAACGTTACGTATTCATAGATGTATGGTTTAGCTTCAGGAATAATCTAAGTCACTTAGTTGTTGACCCCGCTGGCACAGCGGTATGTCTGCGGACCTATAACGCTAGAAACCGGGTTTCGATACCCGTGGTGGGCAGAGCACAGATAGCCCATTGTGTAGCTTTGTGCTTAACTTCAAACAAACAAACTTAGTTGTTTGCTTTGTTTTATTAATATACAAAACCTCTATAATGAACTTAACTTAGGGTTTAGATAAGTAATAGGAATAAAGTAATTATAAATAAATACACATATATATATTCATTGTGTGTGGTCAAGGTAAAACTATTTATAAAAACTTTATGTAATACAAGAACACACTCACTGCTTTCTGTGTGATAATACAGGTTTGATATTCATTACTGTCATATGCATCAATTTTTTCAAAGTTAAAACTTTTGTTTAGAAATACTCTGTTTATTCTGTGATGCTTTATTTTTTTTTATAACAGGAATGGTCATGCTCTGATTTGTTTACGAATGAGTCGGTCAGAAGCACCTCTGACTCCGGAGCAGTGTTTAGAGTTAGGTCACCATATGCTTATGGCACACATTTACAGATCAACTGCTAAGGAGACATTAGCACCAGAGTTGGCTCCTCGTGATTTACAAGCATACTGGATACAACAAAGTACTGATGATATTACAGCTGCATTGACAACTATACGCAATGTGTACAGTCCAAATGTGAAGGTAACATAATTAGTACACTGACTCAAAATTTCATCATTAGGATATAATGATGTTTGCTGTAAAATGTGGTTTCTGATGAAATAGTTATCAGAAATATTGCCACAACAGTTATTAGTAGTTTGATTCAAAAACTCACTAAGAGTGTTTGTAATTTTGAGACATGCCCTTCACCAGTAGCTAGGCCTCATTTTGTAGTTTTAAAGAGGATTGAACATATGATGTTTAACGTGTTACCTTGGTGCAAAGGAATAATATGATTATTAGAGACAAAAACTAAATGAAATATACCATATCCTCTTATTGCAGGTTAGTCGATTACTTCTTTTAGCTAAGGCAGATCCAAATGGAAGAACTGGACAAATGGGGAATGCTCCATTTCTTGTAGTTGCTGCCTATGAAGGGATACTAGAAATGGTTGCAATTTTGCTTGAGTTTGGTGCCAATCCTAGTGCTACTAATGACTTTGGCCAAGATGCTCTTTGTTTAGCCAGCCAGAGAGGTCACCTTGAAATTATTTGTCTTTTGTTGAGCAGAGGAGCTAAGGTGAGTGGTTTATTACTTTTGTATCAAAATAATAAGTAAAAACATTTCTGTAAATAGTAGGCCTTCTCAATTTTTGTATTCAAGCTATTAATTTTTGATCTTATTTTGCTAAAAATGGCCTTTGAAAATTTATATACTTTAATACAGATTCACATTCTAATTCAATAGATAAATCAAAATGATAAAGGGGGACAGTGTTCTTTGGTGTATGCAGCTTTCCATGGACACCTAGAAGTGGTCAATTACCTTGTTCAGTGCGACTGGTCACTAAACAGCAAGGAAGGTCCTCAACTGGAACAAGCTGCTCAACAGTCTCTTGTATCAGCAGCTTTTAGTGGCCATGCAGCGGTATGTTGACAACATTGTTACAGCCAACTCTATTAAATCGTGTAACATATGTTCAGTTGGTAAAATCCCAGTGTTTTTGAAATACCTACCATTCACTGTTATGATATTAACCATTCGTGAAACAATTTCCGAGTACTTTAGAATGTTATTTTTTAATCTTTGGAGGTACTATTTTCTTGTATGAAATTTTGCACACTTAACTTATTTATATAAATGCTTTAAACTTTCTTTTTTTGCTTTTCAATCAAGAATATTATTCTATATCATGTTTATTTTAGGACGAAGTTATAGTTAATGCTTACTAAAAAGAGATAGTTTAAGAAACCTTTTTTGGCAAATTTCCCACCTAGTGATGGTGGTTTTTCCACTTGTATGATGTAATGGTAATGTGTAGTTTTTCCACTTGTATGACGTAATGGTCATGTGTGGTTTTTCCACTTGTGTGATGTAATGGTAATGGTGCAGTTTTTCCACTTGTATGATGTAATGGTCATGTGTGGTTTTCCACTTGTATGATGTAATGGTAATGTATAGTTTTTCCACTTGTGTGATGTAATGGTAATGTATTGTTTTCCACTTGTATGATGTAATGTGCAGTTTTTTCACTTGTGTGATGTAATGGTAATGTGTGGTTTTACCACTTGTGTGATGTAATGATCATGTGTGGTTTTTCCACTTGTATGATGTAATGATAATGTGTGGTTTTTCCACTTGTATGATGTAATGATCATGTGTGGTTTTTCCACTTGTATGATGTAATGGTCATGTGTGGGTTTTCCACTTGTATGATGTAATAGTAATGTGCAGTTTTTCCACTTGTATGATGTAATGGTAATGCGTGGTTTTCCACTTGTATGATGTAATGGTAATATGTGGTTTTACCACTTGTGTGATGTCATGTGAATGTGTATCAATAAATTGAAACAAGTTAATTTGACTCTGAAAGGCACATGGCAAGGCCTGGTGGTTGAGGTGCTTGACACACAATCTGAGGGTCACAGGTTTGAATTTCCATCACCGAATATGCTTGCCCTTTCAACCATGGGAGCATTATAATGTGACAGTCAATCCCACTATTCATTGGTAAAACAGTAACCCAAGAATTGATGGTGTTGACCTGCTGCTTTCCCATCTAGTCTGCTAAATTAGGGACGGCTAGCACAGATAGCCCTCGTGTAACTTTGCATGAAATTCAAAACAAGCCAAACCAAAACTGACTCTGACATGCCTATCATTGATCTTACATTATTTTGTATTTACACTCAATTTAGTTTATGATTCACCTGTTAACATATAAATGACATCCTTGCATGAATGGAGTCCTCTTATATCTTTTGCGTTTTATAAGAAAAAATGGAAATGAGATCGTATTAAAAAAAAGTATTTTTCAAGTTTTTTGCAATTTAAGGTTCTAATTTATATTTTCCATTGTACCTTTTTCTTCTATTGTTTTACAGGTTTGTGAACTCATACTAAACATGACCAAGGTCGGAATTAATGATTCAGATGACGTTACTGGTCACACACCTTTAACTGCAGCTTGTTTGGCAGGACAGAGGAAAGTATGTGAAATGTTGCTTCGAAGAGGTGCAACAGTTTTCACAACTAATCAGTTGAGAGAACCACCACTGACGTGTGCTGTAGCTGAGGGCCATTGGGAAATAGCTGAACTTCTATTGAACTATAAAGCTGCTCTGGAACAACCTGACAAAACTGGCAAGACTTCACTCATACTGGCTGCCAGTGAAGGACATTTAGGCCTTCTAGAGCTACTACTATCTAAAGGTATTAGGAAAACCAGTGGCTTTTTAACTCTTCTGTATTTTATTGTTAATGTTAAAAAGTAAGCAGTTATGTTAATATAATTTCCACATCACCTGTGCTGTATTGATCCTGCTGTGTTTGGAGGTTCTTTAACTAAAAAATAATTAAACCTTAGATCGATTAAGAGGAAAATAAAAAGTATTTTCATGTAAAATGGTATTTCTAGTTCAGTTTCCATCTGATCCATACACTGTTTTATTTTGTTGTTGTATATCATAAACAAACTATAATGGTACTACATTACCCTCAGAAACTGTATACTGATTTTAATGGATTATTTGGTAATTGGATGGTGTTTTATCTATCAATAATTTAATTTCAGTGGTGTTTATAATTCAAATGTATTATTTTACAATTGCTGCACTCACTGAAAAGTAGAAAGAGTTATCGTCTGGATTACAACACTTTCACTGAAAAGTAGACAGAGTTAATCTTCCCAACATTCCAGGATCCATCTTGTTTGATCTGCTAATTCTTTTCGTCTTTAGGTGCTCTCCCTAACAACACAGATAAAGATGAGTTAACTGCCTTATCTTGGGCTTCAATTAAAGGACAGTTACAAGCTGTACAATGTCTTTTAAACCATAGTGCCAATGTAAATCATGTTGACAAAAATGGTCGGACACCGCTGGACCTGGCTGCTTACAATGGGGATCCAAGCGTTGTAAGTTAACAGATAAGTATTCTTAGTGTTAGACAGCAGTTTTAGTTGTTAAAACATAAAACAAGCTTTGGTGTAGTGTAACCTATGTAGGACACACAGTTCCTCACACACTGTTTCCAGTATTTTTCTGTGACCTATGGGTTCTATATAACTTAAGTATAAGCAGAAATACAAGATAGTTGATTAGTTTTCACAAAACTTTCTACCTTTCAATTTTTCACTAATGAAAAATTATCTATTTTTAGCCAGTATTCTTCTTCTCCCATTTAGAAAAACGTGTTAAACTTATAAACTATGCTTTTAATATGACTGCAATAGTGTATTTCTTAAATGTAAATTGAAGAGAAAGTTTTATTTTTCTAAATTAAAAACACAACAAATAATTTTTTTTTAATCCTAACAAGTATGAATGATAATAAACAACCTTTAACATTATTCATTTCTGTTTAGGTAAAACTGTTGATGGACCAAGGTGCAGTTGTAGAGCACGTGGACTTCACTGGCATGAGACCTTTGGACCGAGCCATTAGTTGTCAAAATTTGGCTGCAGTTAATTGTTTTCTTCAGAGAGGAGCCAAAATTGGTAACAGTCCAGTTTTAAACTTGCAATGATTATCTACATAAAAAATATGTTATATGTTAATAAATAAGGGTTTTCTTCATAAGCTTCATTTTACAGCTTTGTGCGTAACTCCCAACAAAATGTTTTATTTGGAAAGACTATGCATCCATGTTTCTTGAGCTTGTATTAAAGTGTACCATGATATTCTACATACAGTGTAATGGATTTTAGACATAATTTCATCCAAATTATTTAGATGAAAGAGTAACCTAGATTTTATTTGTTTGTTTCTAAACTTTCACAGAAACTTCCTTAACCAGGAAATATTGTCAGTTTTAATAGTTAACTTTGGGAATAAAATCGATTTAATTAGAATATACCATTAGATCTAGAGATGCTAATCCCTAGGCCTAATACTAGTGAGAAAAATCCACACTAGGGTGTAAATGTTTTTTTTCCCAGTGGAATTGCGGTGAGTTACGGACTTGCAACGCTAAAATCCGGGGTTTGATTCTCAGCAGTGGACACAGCAGATAGCCCGGTATAGCTTTAATCTAAAACAAACAGTTCCTCTGAATTAGACCACTAAGCTTTTGAAATAGTAGTGTTTCAAAATAATAATGGATGAAAAAAGTGAATATATGAAAAATATTCTCTGGAATCTAGTTTGTATTTTATTACCGTTATTAGGCCTATTGGTTTCTTTTCTTCACCAGGTTTTATTTAAAAATCATAACCTTAATCGCTAACTCGCTCTCTAATCAGCTGTCCCGTTGACGATTAGAATAATGTATACGGTTAATACATTTATTTATATTTTAAGTTACCCTTATGCCAATATTAAAACAAGCAATACTAAGCACAAATAAATATATTTAAAACATCAGACTAAAATCACAAGGTTTTGTTTGTGTGTGACTTTAGTTTGAATTTAAATATAGATATTTGTGCTTGATAATTATTTCTCTTTTTACTGAAACGTGGGAAGCTCTTTCAAATAATTATTATGTCGCTTTTTATTTCTAGGCCCCCAGACCTGGGCTATGACTGAGGGCAAGCCTGATATGTTGTTGCTTTTGCTGAAAAAACTTCATGAAGATGGAACGACTCTATACAAGGTTAGTCAGTGTACTTGTTTTAATTTTACTTCTGGATTAGATAATTGGAAAAATAAAGTATTTTTTTTATACATTTAAAATATTGATAAGTAATTCTCAAAGAAACCCCCCCAAGCAATAAAACTAAAAACTTGTAACGCTAAAAACCGGGTTTCGATACGCTTGGTGGGCACAGCATAGATAGCCCCTTATGAAATTATGAACTTAACAAAAAACAAACTCAAGGAAAATTTAAAAGGTTCGGATATATTAATTAAAGATGGTTTTATTTTGATAAAAAGTTTGTTAGAAATGTATTATATTTAAATGAGCATATCAAAGATCACGACAATTCACGTGAAAAAGTAGAATGAAGTGTTTTTCTAGGCCTTTTAATACAGTCTGAAATGTTCCATTTGCTAATATATGTAACAGGAATAAGATATTTTAATAGTTTGATTGCAAAGAAATTTACTCAAAATGCTTGGTATTTAGAGTATAAATTATTGAACCATTCCAAACTTCTGCTTTGCAGAAAGGCCGACTGAAGGAAGCAGCGTACCGTTACCAGTATGCCTTGAAAAAATGCCCTAGTGATGAAACCATGAAGGATTACTTCCAAGCATTTCAACAAGTCAAGTTCCAATTGTATGTGTTTCTGTCCAAATGCAAACGGAAAATAAATGTAAGTGTCTATCCAGTTTTCCAATAGTTTACTCTAGCATGGTTAGAGCACTTGACTCGCATTATGTGGGTCATGGGTTTGAATCCCGTCACCGAACATCTTCGCCCTTTCAGCCGTGGGAACATTATAAGGTGACGATCAATCCCACTATTCGTTGGTAAAGAGTAGCCCAATATTTGGTGGCGAGTGGTGTTCGCTAGGTGCCTTTCCTCTGTTCTATCACTGCAAAACTAGGGACGGTTTGTGCAGATAACCCTCGTTTAGCTTTGCTTGAAATTCAACAAATAAACGAATCAAACGAGTCTTGCTTCGTTCACATGAGCTAACCCCAAGAAACCCTTCTCTGGGATAACTCTCCTTGGAGCATCCTTATTCCTTTTGAGAGTCCCTGCACTTTCAGATGGCGCCAGCGTGGCATCAAAGAGCACTGAATGAAGCATTAAAGCTACAAAATGTGTCTTAGAGGGCATGGAATTGTCTACGGTTGTCTGATTAAAGAACCACATAATGCCTCCAACAATTTGAAAATTCTAAGAATAGGGGATGACCCACTTTCTGTTAAACTGTGATGGTCATGCATGACCACATAATCTGAAAAAACTCTTGATAATTGCAAGGTACATGTCAAACAAAGCACTTGCGTAGATACTATTTCAAAAACAATTTTATCTACTAAATCTATTACTAGAAATTGGTAATCCTTAGTTAATTTTGAGTAGAATAGAATACTTGAAGAGAGGTGCCAATTTTAGAACTTTTGAAGTTAAGCTGTATTCACAAACAATATAATTTAAAGTATTATTAAGGCCCTTAAGAACCAGTGAAAGCTCTTCGACCTCCCCCACCCCCGCCCTCTCGATGGGCCGCTGCACTAGAAATCGGTCAAAATGGAGTCTCTGTGGCATGGAATCACTTCCAAGAGACAAGAAGAGTGGACAGAAGACATTTTGGTGGTGAGCAAAGGGTGACAACACATCAACAGGACCCGATACCTTGTTACATCAGCAAGTAGAAAACGGACTTTGAATGCTACAAGTCTTTATAGAAACCTCAGAAATGTTTCTGGAGTTATTGTATCCATCCAGACAGCGAGAAACGGACTCCATGCAGCCTGGACTGAAATCAAGAAGACCACAGTGCGAGTTCCAATGAGAGCCAAATACCGAAAGCACAGGCTTGAATGGTGTAGGGAATATCTGGACTGGACACAGACTCCTTGGTCAAATGTTCTTTTCACAAATGAGTCCAAGTACTGCCTGTACTATCACGATGGATGCACTCGAATGTGGAGACGAACTAATGAGAGATACGCAGATGTGAATGTGATAGAACATGGTCGATATGGAGGTGAGTCAGTGATGGTTTGGGGTGGTGTCAGTCTCAGGGGTCGTACAGACTTGTACATCTTCCAGAATGGTCCTTTGAACGGAGAAAGGTACAGGGATGTTCTGGATGTTTTTGTGAGACCATACGCAGAAGCCATGAGTCCAGATTTCATTTTAATGGATGAAAATGCAAGACCACACAGGGCCAGGCTGGTGAACCAGTACCTGGAGGACGAAAGTTTCGAGAGAATGGACTGGCCAGCATGCTCACTTGACCTGATCCTATTGAACACGCTTGGGACAGACTGCAAGCAGTAGTATCAGCTCGTTCACTGCAACCTACTAGCTTAGAGGAGCTTGGAATCGCCCTAACCCCAAAAATGGAACAATATGCAGCAATAGACTTTCACCAGACTGATCCCAGGCATGGGAAAATGCTGCCAGGCTGTCATTATTGCGAGAGGAGGACACACCCATTATAAGGTCAATTAATAGTTTGTTGTCCAACACAAATAAACACTTTTATATCAAATTTTGTTTAAACTGTTTAATATTTTTGTCAGTGCTTAGGTCAGATAGTGTAGCCCCAGCCAAAGTGGTCCTCTCCTACCAATTAGCACCAATTTTGTCAGTAATTAGGTCAGATAGTGTAGCGCCAGCCATAGTGGTTCTCTCCTATCAATTAGCACTAATTTTGTCAGTGCTTAGGTCAGATAGTGTGGCATCGTTTCCAATCCAAACTATTGACCACAGGGAGACAACCGGTAGGTAGTATTCACTTTTATTTTTATACATTGCTATTACTCATTATCTTAGAGTAACCAAAACTTAAACTCATAAAATTTTAAATGTTCCAATAATTGTTAAAACAATGATTATATTTTTTATATTTTTTTAAAGCAGAACGTAGATTGATAAATTACAAACACACTATATATGAAAAAAAAATATTACCACCGTTAGATGGAGCTACTTCTTGATGGTCGCGAGTGGACATACATATTTACTTGTTTTGTTTTGAGGAAAACTGAACACTTTAAAGCTTGAAACATATTTTTACTAAATAACAGCAGCTACTGGTCGATAATGAATTATGTTACTTCAATAATGTAATAATTATTAAGTACTTGTACCAAAATAAAGTTTTCATATAATTAATGTAACAAAGTACACATTTTGTAGGTTATTACTTCACAATTATAATGCAATTTATTACAATAACTTATAATAGTGGATTTAATAATATGATCTTTATTTGGACAAACCTCCAATATAATTTATACTCTTGAGAAAAGAAATAGAAAAAAATCGAAAGGGAAAATAAATTATTTAATTTTGTATTTGAAATCAAAGACAAATTAATGTAGGGCCATAATTGAAATTATCGGCAGAAATGAAAATTAAATTAAATTCTTTTCCTGTTTCCTTTATATATTTCAAGTCTAGGTGTCACTGGTGTAGTTCTAGCTGGAAATTTTAATTAGCCGCCTGTGATGCAGCGTTTTAGTTGACTGATCAAAGTTAATTGCTGTTAAGGTGGTGTTCATACCGTTGATGATGATATAGTTAAAAGTCCTTTGGGAGCTAGCTAAAAAGGCCTCAAAGTTCTTAATATTGGCTACATTGGTGCCGCTCATTTGGGATTCTTTTACTATTACTTAGTGAATTAGTACAATTTTTGGTACAAGGCGAAACAAATTATTACGTTAAATGAATACAAAAGGGAATTTTTAATGTTATATATTATACATAAAAATATATAGAATTTTTGACATTTTTATTGCATTCACCAACATGTAAGTTGACAGTTAGAGGTTTTGAAAATTTCGCCATGTTTGAATCTAAGTTCTCTGCAACAGAGAATCGAGTCTCTGTAACCTTAAGAAGGTAACGAAAGGATAAAACTGTTACCTCAAATTTGATTTTGCCTAATATAGACATTTTATATAATAAGTGTTTGGTAACTTTTTTTTGTAAGTTACTGTGTATATATGTACATATGTATAAACTTACACGTAAAGTTAATTTTTTTTGATTTTAACAGGATTTTAACGCTGCTATTGAAGCAGCTGATCAGGCTATTTTGGTGAAGCCCAAATCTATTGATGGTTATTACACCAGAGCACGTGCTAAGCATGAAGCAGGGTAAGTTTTTAAACACCTAAGTGGTAATATGTTTATCTGTGTTTTATTTTTCTGTTTATCTATTTCTACATATTTGTACAATGTTTTATGATTTGTTCACTCTTCAAATTCCATGTTTATCAAGCCAAACATAAATCTTGTATTCCTAAACAATATCAAATGTAGAGGTCGCTGCATTATCACAACCATTACTAAAGCAAGACAAGTAACATTTTCCACAGTGTGTGTGTGTGTGTTTCATTATTTGATTTCAGATCAATGAATGTAACAGAGAATTATTAGTCTACCGATAGTTTGAGTTGTAAATGCGTGTTACATAGTAGTGATAAGTAATTTTTCTCCGTGAACAAATTATAATTACTTTGTGATCGATTGGGAGCGAAAAAATGTGTCCAGAGATTATCAGCCTATTGATCTTGTCTAGTAAAGTGCAATAGAATTATAAGTTGAAAATTATTGTCTAAGAAGAACTTGTCAGGTACGAAAAATTCCTAATTATTAACACGGATGGATCAATAGAATGAATTATACTCTGTCTCGCTGCATGTGTAACTTGGAAGAAAAACGGTTCTATACGCGCTAAGGTCCTTACACTTTCTGGAATGTCATAAAAATTGTAGCTAGAGAGGATTTTTGAATGAACGATTACCAAGTTTTATGCTGACAAACTCAATAAAGTCGATCCACGCTTACAATGTATATTTGTTATTTAATAAAAAAAAATTAAATAATATATTGTTGGTAATTTAATAATCGTTTAAATACCGCACCCCTAAAGTTATTATTTGTAAATAATTGATACCTTACCAAGTTTAGATTACACAGGCCTACGAATGTAAAATTCATAAAAGTTGTTTTGGTTTTAATAACGGATTTTCCATAATTCAGCTACGCAGATTTTGAAAACTTTAACTCTGAGGTCCGATATCATATAATTATAATAACATTAAGAAAATAGAGCTAGAATAACGATCATATGTCTATGAGATCTTCGATTGCTTGTGAGATTGGTACCTCCAGGATCAATAAAACTCCGTTATAATGCCTCAGTCTGACTCGCATAAGAACTGGTCTAGATGGAACTGGGATTAATTGACTTCATCGCTCTTGCCTCCCCGGGGGGATTTGATCGCTCCTATCACCTCTCTTAAAACTATGGTCAACTTTATTTTGCTCGCCACGCTAACTTGTACTGTTTACAGAACAGAACTTACAAGTGGAGTATTATAACCTGTTGTGTTTCTTTTCTATAAGATTCCATAAGGATATTAGTCAAAATAAGTGGCAAGTTTTCAGTAACTGATCCAGAATTTTCAAACAGGAAAAACACAAAGAAATAACATAGGCCTACGATGGTTTTATTGTCTAAAACTTTTACATGTTCTACAGTAATTCCTGTACGCCGAATCTGAAAATGATATCCATTTTTCTCCATCACGTACAGATTTTTCACAAAACGTCATATGCACTTTTACATAAGTGACTCATTTTCATTAAATTCGGGTCACATTTTGTTATGCTTAAAATGTTGACAACCAGTGGCTATAGATTTCTCTAGACCAATCGCGACGTGAGAGTCTTATCGATTGTTCTAGAACCCAAACATAATAATAAAAAATGTTCATTGTGGTAAACGAAATAATAATTTGATCTAAGTTTTTTTAATTCCCGACTTGTAAAAAATCCTTACGTGATAGAAAAAAATTAATATTATTCATATCAAGAAACTCCCGTCGAAATCTGGAACGTTGACAGGTCTGAACGTGTGAACTTCATAAAGCTGAAAAATTTATGTGAAAGTTTGTAAATTACCTCCACTCAAGAACAACATATTCTAAGCAACATCGCATAACTTCAAATGTATAATTAAAATAATAATAATATTTCGATATACAAACTGTAATACAAGCTATTCATCTATTAGAAAAGCTAAATGGCGATTAAGTTCTCTCATCTATTGTACAAAAAAACCAGCATCCATCCAAGTAAGTGGTATCACACTTCTTATTGTGTCAAGGTTTCTTTTTCTTGGCCATTGTGAAGATCAGTATCTATTGTAGGACATATTCACCACTACTGATATTCATCCCGAAAAATTAGGGAAACGTCTATACCTGTCAACACTGAGACGTGCCCAATCGGGAGATTTTTTGTAGAAGCACTGCAAAAGCGAGTAGCGTCCCCTGGGGGGGAATGCTCCCCCAGAAAATTGAGAACAAAAGGTGCATTTTTATGCATTCTGGGGAACTTCAGACATTTATTTACACTTATATGATTGAAATAGTGTATTCTTTTTTTCAATATACAGTGGGCTTATATACTAAGAGAATCACAGTCACCTGCTAATATTGTTATAAACTTATGATAAAAAAACCTTGTTGAAGCGTTGTACATTTGCTGTTATGTTAAACTTATATCAAAGTTTTTCTTCATTACCCATTCAAGCCGTCTCCAATCATTTTTAGTCTCAAAGTGGGTTCCTCGTCATCGAATTTATATTGTAAGAATTGAACAATAAAAAAAATACACATATCCTGATTAGTGTTCTTTGTTATATCCGTATGTTACACTTTTGGCATCTTTCAATACCTGCTTGCTATGCTTGTATTTACTGGCTGAGGAATCTGAGTTAAATTCGCAGTTTAAAAGAGCACATACTGTGTCAGGACCTAAATGAGTCCTATTCTTTGTTACGATCTTTCCCAACATTGAAAATGTTCTTTCACTCGATACACTGGAAAGTGGTACAACAAACAAATAGTATAACACAACAAAGTATAACAATATGACATAAAGTGAATAAATATTTACTATATCCTGGTTGGCACTCTGTGAAATTGAATTTTGAGGCTCTATTCTTTTTGTTAAATTATTTATTAAAAAGGTTGATATTGGGAGATCCTGGTCGCGTGTTGGGAGATCTTGAAACAGGACGCCCCTAAAGTGATTACTGAAGATAATTTTCATATGGCGCCTTTTATTCCCATTTAATTGGTCTTCATTGGGCAGGGAACTGATTTCAAGAATTGGAGTCTCCTTGACCTAAGCATGCTTATTAGGTACAATAATGTTAATTTATCATGGAGATAATATATTATTTCATGGGACGTGGGTTGGCCCTGTGTTACAGCTCTAAATTTTGGAGTTGACAAGCCAGATGTGTAGTGCAAGGGAGCAATATGGCCAGGTGGTTAGTGCGCTCGATTCGCAATCTGAGGGTCATGGGTTCGAATCCCCATCCCACCAAACATTCTCTCCCTTTCAGCCGTGGGAACGTTATATTGTGAGGGTCAATTCCACTATTCGTTGGTAAAAGAGTAGCCCAAGAGTTGGCAGTGGGCGGTGATGATTAGCTGCCTTCTCTCTGCCTTCCCACTGCTAAATTAGGTCTAAGCCTAGTGGCCTTGTTTCCGGATTCATCTGGAATTTAATACATCTATACATCTTGTTATGTTGTATTTCTGGCAGTTAATAAATTAATTTTCTGAAGTTTTGCTGCTTGATCTATCTTTCGATCGCCGAAATATCAGGATTTGTTTGGCCTATTTCTCAGTCATTGCAACATCAAGAGTTTCTATGATCAAACAAATCTTTGCTGTTAGATTTGTGAGATAGCAAGTTATATTATCTTGGTTGTGGTTTTGTTTATCGTTCATTTATTATTCCATCTATGTTCAGTTTATATATGAATTTTTAGTTACATTAAACACTAAATCACCTTTTAGCTGATCACATATATTTTGAGTAAATATCTATGTATCATGAAATTGACACCAGTTTCCTCAGCGGTGACGTACAGATATTATTAATGCATCAAAAGATTATGTAAATTTATGATTACATGAGATGTACTCTCGTGTCCTAAGCAGTCAATACATATCCTGCCATAAACTTCATAAACTAAGTCACGAGATAGTTCGTGAATTAATGCTGTCTGTCACTCGATATTGTTATTAATATAGAAAAGTGATTTCAGACCATTGTTTGTTGTTGTTGTTGTTTTGGAATTAGGTATTTTTCTGGTTCTTTCCTTAATTACAGAATTTGAAATAATTAATATTTATGTTTTATTGTTCATTAACATTAGTATCCTGACCAGGCACGTGTTTATTAACTGTGTTTTTGGTAACTGCTAAATTTTATTCCAAGTGTTGTTACAGTTTAATAAATGTTTTTTGTTTTTCGTTGTTGTTATTATTGAACCATTGTTGTAGCGGCATGTTATTTTAGACCGTTACAACTGCTTAATGTTACAGTGATCGAGAGATAGATCAAATAAATCCTTGGTGCTCCGATGATCGAGAAATAAAAACGATGCTTATGTCATTAAGATCACGAAACACAAATTCTTGATACTACAGTGATCGCGATATAGATCAAACAAATTCTTGATGCTACAAGGATCGAGAAACAGATCAAAAGAGTAAGAAAAAAATAAATGCTTGTGAGATATATATTTATGGTGTATCATTGTTGTGATTACAATATTATTTGTATTTTATGAAAAGTATTTGAATCTGAACAAACGATCGTTATGTATATATGTAACTAGTACTTCTCTAGGCAGTACCTGCATATTACTTGTTAAGGTATTATACATTACAAAAATGAGAGGTACTAAAAGAAAAACGTTAGCTCAGTTAGAAGTAGAGAGTAATTCCACTTCACAGTAACTAAAAGAATTTTTATTTGAGGGAGAAAAAAAATACTCTTAACTGAATCAGTACCGCAGTTCAACTTACTATTGAAAAATGGATAAAACTTGAGTTGTTGCTTTTCCATGAGCACAGAAAAATATTTTGCTAATTAACTAAACATATTTTATGACAATAGTTTTTAAAAGTTTAACGAAAATTCAAAAAAGCACGAACGGCGTGTTTTTTTTTTTTAATATTAACAATGACGATCAAAGAAACAACCGTTGAGAGGGAAGATTAAAGTCTCAACTTTAAGGATTTTATTTTTTGTCATGTTTCCATTTGTTTTCGCGCTCCGCTATA